ACCACCTGCCTCTGCCTCCCTCCCATGTGCTGGGACTAAAGACATGCACCACCACCACGCCCAGCTAGGTGTTTTTGTCATAAAATAGCAAGTGGTGAGTAAATACTGTGTCTCCCCCACCCAGGAGCAGGAATAATACAAGGAGATGATAAAGATGGCCTTTGAGAAATGAAGTCATCTTCTGCTCTGTGAAAATCTCACCTGTTCTAGCCATTTCCCTCCCAGACGGGGAGTAAGGGGAGGACTCAGCTGGACAGGTTCAGACTGGCGCTCTAATTGCCACGCTTTGGAACTAATTACAGAACTGACCTGGGCACTCTGCATTCTCAGCCTCCCACTTACAGGCTGATGAGCGGCACAGAAGAGGGAAAGATTTCCAGCTCAGACATCCCTTGGGCTTGCGAAGAGTCCCATCCTGGCTGGGACTGGGAAGCACTTGCAGGCTCTGGCTTTGCAGAACCAGAGGCTCCGTACTAAATGAGGATATAGCTCCTCAGCACAGAGTTTTAGACATTGTGCAAGCACTTTCGGGTCTTTAAAGTAATTAATTCGTCCCTGGGCTGTCTCTTATAACTTTAATATTTACACTATGACAAAGTAAAAGTGCTCATTAGTGTTTAAGACAAAGTAAAACCATCCTCTCTATTCATTCCAATGAGCTTATTTTCCATTAGTGAAAAAGAGCTGGAGACGTTGGGGCCCGTGGAGTATTCTAGACAAAGTGGATATCAGAAGGAAATATATTTGAAAGTCATTAATGTGGGGTCTAGTGAGAAATATGTTCTTCATCTGACCTCTACTGATTGAAGGCATATATATATATATATATATATATATATATATATATATATATATATATATATATATATATATATATATATATAAAACTTTTGACCTGTCTTTTCCCTAGTTTAGCCAGACCTACCCATCAACTTGCTTCAACTCGCCTGCTCAATCAGTTCTCAAAAGTATCCAATCCACTCTTCAGGGTAATGGACATGCCCAACAATAGCAGATCAAAGATCTCTTCCTCAGAAAACCTCAAGGACATCATTGCCCAAGTCTCCCTCAAGACTGTATTGTCTTATCTATATTCTCTCTAGTGATAATGGTCCCACAAAGGAATGCCTCCCCTCCCAAGTTTATGCCACCTTCTATTTCACCATGAGTAGAAAGTGTACTAGTTCCCGTTGGAAGCCACCCAGAGGCATTTGTTCTTTCGGTGACCTGGTGTGAAATCTTGTCTTCTAGAATCAGCTGGAATGTTCTCAAAGGTGTGGCAGTACAATTAGCAACAGAGCCTATTATGGTGAGTGCTCAGGCTCACTAGAGAGTGCAGGTCCGTGTACTGGGGACTCTTTATGTTTTCTAGTATATCCGGAAGAAAATGTGAAAAATCCTGGTCAAAGATTTTTAGGATGGATTCTGTAACAGCTTCTTGCTCCAGAGAGAATTCCTCCTCCAAGGGATGATTCTATCTGTACTACTGAGCTCTGATGACATTCTCAGCAGTAGCAGCAGCCTTGGCAGGGCCTGCAGCAGAAGATGACAATCATGCACTGAAGAGCAGGGACACTAGCTGCTGCTCCATAGTTTCAGCAAAAGACCAGAGAGACATCACTGCTGTTCCAGTTAGGGGCCCCACCAGCATTGAAAGTAAAGCAGAATTCGCTTTGAAATTTTCCAGAGTTCATCATTGTAGGACAAAATTAGCCTTACCCATAGAATTAACAGTATGTGTCAAAATTTAACACACACACACACACACACACACACACACACTGCACAAAAAGAATTATATACCCATCAACCTGCCATGAGATCTGAAATCTCTCCATTAGTCATCCCTTTGGAGTTCAGCCACTGAAGGTACAAGTTAAAATGCAAATTTGTTCCTTGGAGAATTGGCACATCAAACTTTGTAAACCGTTAATGCTCCAGAAAGGCTGGAATATCATACTGAGAAGTTGAGTCAAAATTGACTGACGAGTCAACAAAGGAAGGCTGGCTCTATGTGCTGCCTATTTCACTAACGAAGATGAGCGCATAGATGAGTAATCTAAAAAATATAAATATAGTCAAAAGCATTTGGGCCTACATGACTGATCTTGATATGTTATTAGTGGCAATGAGTTTGAGGGTTAGAGTTTAACCTTTGAGATTAATGCTAAGAAGGAAGGCTATGTCCACTGGTGCAATGGCAGACACAGACCATTTGATGACTCACCGGGGATCACATTCAGCAGTAGCAGCGTGTACACTAGAGAAGATGAAGATTTGGTTTCAACTTTGCCTCGGCTACCTGTCAGGTAAACGACCTTGTTCTGGCCACCTATTCCTCATCTACAAAACTGAAATGTAGAAATAAGACCAAATCTACGATTCTTGTTCTACAATCCCCTGTCAAGACTCCCCTTTCCTCCTGCATCTGTGCCCATCAGGGAGATTCAACTAGACTTCAGGGGATACAGTTTCTTTCCATTCCATGTACTAAGGATGGTGCTCAATGGAGAGCCACGTGCAAAGGGAGACCAAAGAATGTGTGGATATTGTGATTGTGGGACCATGAATATTGAAAGACATAGGTAGAAGATACCTCCTCTTCCACTGAATCGCCAACTCCTGAAGTCTACAAAAGACAAAACCATGTTTTAAACACCACCCCCAAAGGAAACAGGCAGAATAGCCAAATGATGCGACTCTGTTCATCACCCCGTGTGACTCCAGAGGTGTTCAGAGCCTGAGAGGGAACGTCTCTGGGACTCTCCTCCCATGTTTACACAGGGTAAACCCGTGGGGCAGCTGCAGCATGTTCCCAGAGGAAGGCAGACTGTGAGAGGAGCACATGGCCTGAGAGCACTTGAGGCCACTGTCCAGTTCACACCACATTTCATCCTTTTGACTTTATAAACAAGGAAACTGACCCCCAGAAAGGCCTAGAGATGTGGCCTGCTAAAGACTGCAGCGGTGACTAAGCTGTCCTGCAAGCCATGCTCCTCCGGGGAAGCCTCAAGCCCTGATACAGATCCTACTGAAGCCTGAAGCCAAGGACCAGAATGGCTGCACTCCTGATACTTAGTGGTGGTGGTGGGGGGGGCTTGGAGTCTATTTCTTCTATTTTTGAGATCATAATATAATTACATCATTTCCCTTTCCCTCTCCTCCCCCTCTAAACTCACCCTTGCTCTCTTTCAAATCCATGGCCTCTTTTCTTTTTTTTTTTAAATTAATTGTTGTTACATGCATACATTCCTAAATACAAAAGTACAACCCGCTAAGTCCGAGTAATGTTGCTTGTATGTATGGGACAGGGCTGACCATTTCTCACCAAACATGGCTGCCTGCACATGAGCCGAAGAAGGACAACAACAGACGTGCTGAAGACGGCCCGAGAGCGGGAGAAATAGTCTTCCCCAGGGACCCGGAGTCTTAGCGTGGGGCTCCTGGACCACGGGAGACAGCTGAGGATTCTTCCGCCTCTGGACAGTCCCTCTGTCCTTCAGAGAACAGTGGTAGAAGAGCAAGGAAGAGAGCCACCCTTTCCTTCTCTCTGCTCCACCTTCGCGGTCACGGAAGTTGTTGGGACCTTAGGCAGCATGGTACTTCTGTCGCTGGCACTGATTAGTTCTAAACCTCTGGGGACGTTAGCCTCTTGGTTAACCTTTTTCATAAGATGGGAGTATAGCGCGCATCTTGGTTGGCTGCTGAGTGAGGTGGTGTGGTACAGCTGAAGGCATATAGCAAATGCTCAGGGAACAGCAAATGTCCTTCCCAGCTTGGGAGCCGGAGCTCGAACTCGCAGTCTTGGGGAAGCTGTGATGGAGCTGGAGGGAACTGGTGGACAGTTCAGGGACTGCAGTTCTCAATAATCCACATCAGGCTTGGGGTGATAGGGCACCCCCAGAAGCCCATGAAACTCAGCAGGGTTCGCTTCCCTTCTATGACATTTCCAGACACAGATTTGGCTCTTTCATTCCACTGTGGATCCGATGTTAATACCCATTTATGCAGGAAGAGAGGAAAACACCATTGTGGCCCCCACCTGTTTGCAGGCACAGACCAAAATGGACAAGCAGCTATCCCGGGTCCCAGCACCTACAGAAAGTCACGGGCCATTAGCACCAACCACTCCCTGGCAGGCTCTGCTGTGGAATACAATGACCCCGGCAAGAGGGCTGGCAAAGGACTAGGCTCTGGGATGTGCTTTGCTTTAGTCCCTGGTTTCATGTGGCTTGCTAAGAAGGAAACTAGGCACCGAGGCAAAGGTGAGGCAGAAAGGCAAGCCTAAAGTCGTTCTGACTAGCGACAAAGGGTACAGAGAGAGAAAGAAAAGAGCAAGGTGATAAAAGGAGTGAATTAATGTCCAGCTTGGCTGAACAAATTCTTCCCCCACGCACCTGCTCTGAGGACCAAAGGAGCAGCATTACACTCCTTTGAGCTTTCCCTGACCAGCACTCTTCAGTTCAAGGTTATGTTCCTGCGCAGCTGGTATCGAGACTTCTAGCTCCTTGTCAGGAAATGTAAGAGGCCAAATCTGTGTAAATTTAAATTACAAAAAAAGTCTTTTCCTCAACTGCCCGGCCTCAGAATAGTCCCTCTTTCACTGGGCACTACAGCCAGGGACTATAAATGCCTTTATCATAGCATCCCAGGCTTTTGAAATTTTGGCAAAATCAAATTTCCTCCTCCCAAGGCATATCAAACAATGCTGCAGAGGGGAGACTAATTTGCTTTTAACCAATACTAAATGAAGAGGTTCTTTCCTTGGCTGGTTTGAAGACTATTTTTATCCGACAAATGCAGTCTTCTCTGTGACCACCCCTGCCAGCTGGGGGCCCCGGGAGCCTAGCCAGTCACCCTAAGGACAAAGGTTGATAGGATTTTGAGAAAAGGCAGCAGGACACTGTGGG